AAGCAGCTAATATATTTACAATAATTACGCTATTCATGCTGCAAAACCCAAATCATTTGCCCCACAAAAGTGTCAATGTGCCAAACACTGAAGTGTATTAAAGCTGTCTTTTGAGCGCAACGTCACCAATAAATGTCAAAAAAAATTGAAAAAAGCCGAGAAAGGACTATTCCTGGTGCTGCTCATCCAAAATTAATTACAGCAAGTAAACAGACGGGAAGCACCGCTTCGCTGAAAATTTATTGTACCGCAGCCAGTTCTCGTCAAAATACAGAACATTCTCAATATGAATTATAAAAGTGTCAAGCTAATTTAATCAAAGTTTTAATGAAAAATCGATCCTTGGTAATTTGATTGGGTTTTGGTCGAATTATCCATTTATTTGCAATTGTTTGCTCGCATTTTCTGGGTTTATTATAATAATGGAATTTCGAATTTGTGGATCCATGGTGTGAAAATATTTTATCGCAACACCTCAGCCTAATTTTTCAAACGTAACCCAAGAGAAACGGCCAATATGTTTATACGCTGTCTATCCGCCGAAAATACACTACAATATATATTCACGCTTATTGGACGCCGAATTCAATATATATTCTAAGGTATTTTCGGCGTATTCTTCAGCGTGAAACATATTGAAACTTATTGAGGCGCCCTCTGATGGCCATGAATGCATTCATTGATTCAATATGTTTCACGCTGAAGAATACACCGAATATACACTAGAATATATATTCAATTGGGCGTCCAATAAGCGTGAATATATATCGTAGTGTATTTTCGGCGGATAGACAGCGTATAAACATATTGATCGTTTCTCTTGGGAATATGAATTTTTTCCCTTATTTCTAAACACAAAACCACTCCGATCGACGGGAAAAAATTGCAAGAAAAAAAATTCAAATAAAGTTTGGGCGGATGTCCAAATATTTATTTATTCAAATTATATGGCACAGCCTCCATAGGCACTTTTAATGCTTAACGTCGATTGGGATGGGCGATATTTGTCAAGCGATTTTCGTGCTTTGTGGACATTTTCATCTCGGCGGCGAAATTTCAATTTTCATTTCGCATGAGACGACAGAAAGCGAAAAATTTTCGCCAGTGGAATGGTTCATTTCACCATAATGGCACAGCCGCTCCAAAATGACTTTGACAAATAATTTCATTCGCTTTCTGCTCTTCACAGTACTGGAATGAATGTTCAATACCATTCCGAAATGAAATTGTGTTTGTCTTGATGCCTCATCGTGTTCAATTGAATCCGAATTCCCAAGTTCTTTTTGTAAAACTTAACCGACACACAGATATGTATACACTTGATATTTTATCAGCATCGCTCCTCACTTACACTGGGAATGTTCCGTTCATTTTATAAATGCAATGTTTTTCATTCATTCATTTCACTTTCAACGTAGAATTGAATGCACGCAGAATTGAAAGCATTCCATGAAAATATTTTTAGAAACACATTAGCTGCACGGAACTAAATACAGTCGAGCTCATTAGCAAAAGAAAAACAAGCTCGTTTTTGCAGTGTACGTTATCAAGCTCGAGAGGAATATGTCGAAATAAAAACAGACACGTAGCAGTTATTCTCAATGCTCCAATAACAATCGAAAGCCAAAAACAGAAATATTTTTTATTCCAAGCGAATGCTCCGCATACCAAAAGTGATAGACGTTGAAACGTCTATTAAACGTTTATGTCGCGCGCATTTCCATGATCCAAACACACTACTACTCGCAGGTATGATATTATCAAACATATGATCAAACATGTATGGTCCATGTTCCTTTTTCGTATCAATCCACATCAAAATTTTGCCACATAGAAACACTTTGAGATTGAATTCAAAAGCAGCGTAGTAAATATTCTATGCGGAATATATCGTATGCAACAACAGTACATTATTTGAAGTGTTTAAGCGCGTTTGATCTGTTCAAAGCTCGCATTTTGACTCGAATATGGTCAATGGTGGTTCGACAAATAATCTTATGAACTCATATGTTGCTATGTCGTTCCGATATTTTTGTAGCACATTTGAAAACTCAAAAAGAACAGACAATAATCACTGGAAGTGTTTCGGAAGGAAATAATATCACGTTTTACCCAAAAAATTACCCGTTTCAATATAATATATAATCAAATATATTTTCGTGTCGTTTCCTCGAATTTTGTGTTTGCGCGTGCACAAAAATATCGTTCAAAAATCTTTCCTTAGCTGTTGAAATAGCATCATTTGCCAATAGCTTTATGCCCAGCTTCTGTATTATTCCAAATTATAAAGAAAAGAAATAAAGAGAGACAATTTATCGATTAGACGATTTTTTTTCCGAGCGAAATCGCCTGCTGCTCTTCATCCGATGGCTTTTTTTCTTATTTGATTTTGATGAGTACGCAATGAATGGTGTCGCCGCTTTTTTTTAGGGAATCGATAATAAATTTGCATAATGAAAAAACAGCGCCAACTCCTGTTATCGGCCCATCTTGCCGCTTCAATTGACGCTGTGCTGCCAAATCGGGAAAAATTCATCCAATTCTCCATAGAGCTTGGAAACATAGGCATTGTGTTTCTGTGTATGTGTGCAATTTGATTGAGGCAATATGCAATTAAAATCCCTTGAATATTACATCAAACTTTAATGGTATATGTACATTGTACATTACTGACGCGCATTCGTTTAGCGATCAACTCAACGGAATAATTTATGCAAAAATGAGTGCCAATTCGATATGCGCAACGTTCCATATCCCTAGTGAAGCGTTAACAAATTATCGTATGTCTCACGTTTACTTTCATTTTTGCTGTGTGCTCCTCGTGTCTCACTCACCAAGTGTTGGCATTAAAATACGTAATACACTCGTTCGCTATCTTCATTTGATGCCACTTTGCTTTGGAGCATAGATACATACATGAAATCCGCCAGAGAACACCGTAGTTGTAACGCTGTGTATACATGTACATAATACAGCAAAGAAATACTTCTTTTTTCTGCGTTTCATTGTTGGAACTAGTGTACGGGTGTGCCTCTTGAAAGTGCATTTCACGCGAAATAACAAAATCATTCATTACAACTCATAAAATCCAAATTGAATTTTTATTATACGCGTCTTGTGCGACGTTCGACTGGTTTGCTTTTGAAAATTATGATGTTGATCGCGACAATCATGGTAATGAGGCAGAGAGTCAGATTAGCATAGAATTTTACTTTGATCTTGTTCGTATGCTTGACAGCATGAACAATCTTTTCATCGTTGTTTGTCATTCACAGTTTATTGGCACACTTTTCGCTGAATTCCACTTTTTAAACACTGAAATTCAATAAGATAACTCAATTGGATGCTTTGCCATTTGAAATAGAAAAAGCGCGCTTTCTGCAACAGACACACAGTCAATTAACTCATATAATCGCATTGCGAAATACCGCTTTTGTATAGCAGCGCACAGCAAAAGTCCATAAAGGAACGTCTGCATTTCATGAGCATCAATATGGAAAATTGCATGAATATTTACAAAAATTACGATTTCAATATGGAATTCCTCTCAATAAAAAAACTACGCTACAAATATACCGCATGTATTCCCTGCGCACGCTACGTTTATACCATTTTCATTACAATAACTTCAGCGATGAAATTAAAAGAATTGTTAGGATAAGTTCATTATATTCAATCTACCTTTGGATCATTGATAAAATCAAGGAAGAGGGAAATGGAAGGAAATATTCCGCGACCACCTGTTGACGTTCCATTTACACCCTGCTTGATGCCCATGATTTTGTCATATGTTTCTGAGACAACCGGCTCGCTAGGATCGCCAGGTGGTTCAACAGTTTCACCATCAGGCGTATCTGAACCGGCCATGAAGAACGCTGCCTGATGTGGTGGCTTAGATGACATATACTTTGCATCACAACGTCTTAATAAGTTTGGTTCGCGCACTACTCCATAACCATAGGTAGTTACAACTTCTGACGGATTATTATTTATTCGGTTCCTTCATGCTTACATCTAGTTGTAAAATGGTTAAGATCTACTATTTAAATTACTATACAAATTATGGCCACATTACTCAGGGCACAACATTGCAATTGTTTTTATTTTTCCATTATATTCATTACACAATATTATCACATTCTCATTACATTTTAAGGCAATTTGAAGAGAAAAAGAAAGAGAGTTAGTAGGCGTTAGTTATTAAAAATTAGGAGAGAAATGACTGCACGAACGATCACATCAGAACTATTTCCTTGAATCGCTTTTTAAATGTGTAAAGAGAACATTCAGTAGGCAATTGGTTGGCATGTTCGTAATAGAGCTCAGTGCAATTACGGTAAATGCTTTTAAGTCCAAGATTCATACGTGTTCTTTCGAAACGCGGCCTTGTGTTAGTACTTGTCGGATATCTATGGTTGCTTGTGCTGTTGACATGGTATTTAGTTTTCATTATTCCCTTTCGAATTTTGTGAATCATTGATATATCATTGTTATACTTATTTGTAGTTCTTTTTATTTTCTTCAACAATGCCGAAGACATCTAATCGCTATCTATTTTCAGTAGCGAGAAAAATGCAAAAATGTCTTTTCCGCTCAATGCTGAGTAGAAAAGTGACACATTGCTCGCAGCTTTATTTGTCTGTTTTCTGCTCGAAGTTTTTTCCGTCTCACTTATGGATAAAGAGCTCATAAGTTGTTCATTCGTTCTATGGTTGTAATATTGTATGATTGTAATGTCGAAATCATAGTTTTGACATTTTTTTTACCCTTTTTTCGATTTTTGCCTGTGTGGCGGCCATCTACATGGGAAGTTTGTATAAAAACCTCGTTGTAATATATATCGCAATTATTTCAGATAATCATATAACTGTGCATGGGCTAATGAAAAATATAATGCATTTTTCTCAAATTTGCAAATTTATTCGGTTCTTTTGTTGAACATCAAATGACAGGGGCAAAAAAAGAGACGGTATTCAGCTTTTTCAGGTGCCTGAAAGCCCTTTTTTCAAGCCTATATACTTCTTATTTGATTACGTCTCACCTTTGGCTTCCGGATCCAATCAAGCAACGGTGCAATCGGTTGAAAAACAACTAGCTCACCAACCAAATGAAATATGGTCATGCCCACGAGTTTGTTATTCTTTTTCGAAATCATTGGACCTCCAATTGGACCAAACGTAGAGGAAGTTTCCATGCTTCCATCTGAAGTGTAACACATCAAATGATTTGCATCAAATGCAGCACCCAATTTCGGTTTACATTTGGCGCCATCCAAATACTTTGTATCAAAACGCCTCGTTCTCACTGTTCCATCCAATACCATATCACCGTAGACAGTGACAATTTCGGACGGGTCATTCATTTTGTAATCTCTGTCCACCAAATCGATGCTGCCGACGTTATCGTTGAACTCCAACGGTTCTTCAAGTGTAATCTTGGCAACGTTAAATGCGAATCTCGACAATGCGCATTTCTCATGAATTTCTATCTGGTCTTTAGTGACTTTAAGTTTTGTCGCATTTCTTGATAGTTTATTAACGGTGAGGTAGACATATGGGGCGCCGAGCACACTATGCGCACAGGTCAAAATCTCCGTTCTTGACAAAATGATTGCATTAAAATTTAGTTGATTAGTTTCGTTAGCATCGGCATAATCTTCTTTGTAAGCAGTAAGAAATTCTGTAATAGAAAAACATCTCCGAATGAATATTTATGTTTATGAATCATGAGAAATCTCCACTTTTGCCTCTCCTCCATTTGAAATTTAAAAAAAGTGACGTTAAAAACGGCTTGATTTAGTTCGAATTTCGAATGCACACTTACTTGCCGGTGCCATTATATCGGCTATAAATTTAGCTTCGTTAGATGTAAGCGGAGGTGGAATTGGTTTCACGCTCTGAAATTAATGCAAAAAATGATTTTGTTTGCGTTGTTGAGAAAAAAAAAATTGGGGCATTGTGATTAGATACCTTTGGGTCATGAATAAAATCAAGAAATAGAGTAATTGGAAGGAACGATCCGCGGCCACCTGTTGTTCTATAACCCGTATTTATGCCCACGATTTTGCCATTTGTTTTTGAAACGACTGGTCCACCCGAATCGCCAGGTGTAATAATTTCACCATCGTTCGTAGCTTCACCAGTTGTAAAGTCCAAAGTCTGCCTTGGCTTAAATGTGTTGGCTCGTTCGACATCAGATATATAGTTTGCATCGCAACGCCTCAATATCGATGGTCTGGTGTTGTTCAACACGCCATATCCATAGGCAGTGACCACTTCTGATGGGTCATTCAATTTGTAATCCTTATCCACGAGTTCGATACTACCAACGGTATCGCTGAATTCTAACGGCGTTTTCAGTGTAATTTTGGCAATATCAAATGCACCAAAAATCAAGTGACTATAATGAGAGTGCCATGCAATGTTCTCTTTTTCGACTATGATTTTAATTTTCTGGTTTGCATCTGATACAACTTTCGTACCAGCTACCACATAAACATATGGGGCGTCATACACACAATGGGCATTCGTGATAATTTCCGTTTTCGACAGAATAAATGCGGTACAAGTACTCATCTTTATTCTATTGGCATCATTTGGATGGTCTTTGTATTCATGCAAATATTTTGTAATAAAATCGTTTCATTCTCAGTAAAAGCAATAATATTTGAAGAAAAAATGAACACACACAAAATTGCTAGGAGGAAACCGCGAACTCTTCATATACAAAATTCGTTTCTATCATTCAGTTTTAATACCATCTGTATGTTGACTCAAATATTTGACTAAATCTATGATCCACTATGAACGATACTTTTGACCACCACAACGTGATGAATTTTCTGATAGTGAACTGACAACGCACAATTGAAAGTTATTATTTACAGTGAAACGTTTCTGGTGAAAGTTCGAAAAATATCACAGTTGTAAATAATATATTGTTTGAGAAAATTTATAAAATCTAGCATTATTTTCAATTTTCTGAAGCGTGGTCAGCCCCTAGCAAAATTGATAGATTATTTGAATTTTTTGGAGAAAAATTCATACGAAGAAAAAAGAAAATGATTCTAAAGCAGACTTACTTGCGGGGACATGGATTCCAGCTACAAACTTTGCCTGTGACATGTTTTCAATCACTTCGCCCTTGAGAAGAGCTTGCGAGAAAAAGCCATCTGTTTATTAGAAAAAAAGTTGAAAGTAGAGTGAAACTGGATACTGGAGATTTTGCATTGACGTTTCCGACTGTAAACATGACAACAATTCATATATGCTTGTGCTGTCAAAGTCACTTTGTCATGCATCATTCACATTAATGCTTTAACTGATTGTGGTGAACAGTGGTGAGATTGGAAACGCCATACATTTTATATACATTATTTGTTTGGGAATTATATTCATTTATTTTCTTTTATTGTTGATATTCGGGCTCTGCAAAGCCTAGGCTTCATCCACGATTTGTTTTTTAAAGAAATATTTCGAAAAAATCGTGAGTTTGCACTGTCAACACTTGTGTGATTTTTCATATGATTTTGAAGTCATCGAATATTGCCACCCGTTCACACATTCAATGAACTTGCTACATCAAGTGATAGTTTAGTTCATTGCTGACGTTTTTCAATCCGCCATACGTTTTTATATATGTGTGTACATCAAAATGTCAAAGTTGTCAAGAATGCAACCGTTCTCCTCGTTCTTTCGAATTGAATATTATAAAAGTCTGAAAAAATCTTTTGGAATCATAAAAAGCTAGTTCGAAAACCAAAAATGTCTTACGTTTTCCTTGAAGTTCCTAGAAAAAGAAATTTCGTGTTCACTTTCATTTCTACAGAAATATCGTATTTTATTGGATAAAAGTGAAAATGATGAAGGAATAGAAAGAACTTACCGAAAATTCAATGATAAATAGCACCGAAAACAAACCGTGTAGTAGCTTCATTTTAATTTGCCAACCAAACAGAGTTTTAACCTGTTGCACAATGATAGTAGAGAACCGTCTTTTACTTCTTTAGAAGATCCTTTGAATTCGTTTGGTCTTCCACGTGCGGTGCTGCCTTATACCATTCATCTACTAATAGTTGACACGTGCCATGCAATCAATAATTGATGAATTGTGGTATTTTTCAGTTATGGAATATATGAATTGAGGTCTACTAACACTATGCAGCAAATTTCGAAAACGAAATTCTCCAAAAAACAGTAGACTCATTCCCAAGTTTTTTTGGTCCACTTAATCGAAATCTGATACGGAAACCGCAATGAACGTATCTTAAAAACTAGACGTGCCAGGACAAACTAACACCAGATTTGGATTAAATGGGCCCAAAAACATTGGAAATAAGTTCACTTCTCTGTGGTTGTTTCTTGTTGTTGCATAGTGTAATCATATTCAGACACTAAATGAAGCTCAATAACAAAATTCCTTCTGATGAACACATGTAGCTGATACAATTTGTGAAAATTGATAGGAAAAAATTGAATACGTTCGAAAACATTTCAAATTCAGATGTAACTGGTTCGTAATTTGGTTATTTTTGGCTGTTGCCAATTTTTAACTTGTTTTTTCTGTACATTTTTGTTCCCCAGCCTGATGATGCTCCTAATAAGAGCGAAACGTCGCACAACAAACGATTATTCATTTTCGAAAACAGCTTTAGCCCAACACATCACTTTTGTGTTTGTTCAAATGGTATGAAAAAACAACGTAAGCACCAAAGGAATTTAATGTATGTGATGCTGGAGTGCACAGTGATGATATGAATTTACATTAAAAGTACTTTTTTTCAGTTGTGGATCGCTGAAATCCACCCAAATATAATTGATAAACAGCGTGGATTCCAGCGATCCACAACAATTTTGCACCGAAATGGTATAAACGTAGCGTGCGCAGGGAATACACGCGGTATATTTGAAGCGTAGTTTTTTTTTTATTGAGATTATGTGGAATGGAGTTTTTTGTTTGTGATATTATTTTTTTTTTATTAATATTATTATTTATGCTTTTTTGTAGTTGAATACACTGAATGCAAAGTATGCGCTTAAAATAGCATGCTTATAAGCCATGTATTCATAGAATTCAAAAGCATGTATTGCGAGACTCGCAATGGGCGAGGGCAATCATTTTGTAAATAATCGAGATAATTTCAAGTTCTTTTTTTTTCATCTACGCAGTAAAATATAAAAATGGTACAAAAATTCGATGCTAATCTAAATGCTTCATAATACTAACAAAGATAAAAATTCTATTATAATAACGTAGCGATATATTTTCATGATAGATATTCATGCAATTCGTGCAGCGAATGATGGTTCAGTGCGGATGATGTATTAACAGAAGAGCAACTAGCATCTTACCTAACGTTGTTTGTAGAGAGGAAAAAAAATCATCAATTCCATCGAATTCTCAGTACCATGAAACATCCACTGACTGCACAAAACAAAACCTGACTAAATGTTCGGAACAGGATACTTGATATGGATCTCTGTGCATAAATTCCAGATGAATCCCATGATTCATTGCTTTTTTCTGCGCAAACACATGAATTTGCAACAATTCGTGAATTAAATGAAAAAAGAAAACTAGTTCAATTCAATTGCGAAATGTGGACGATGAAAAATGCAGAGTCATAAAACATGCATGCACAACATACGCAAATGGTATTCACATTACATTTATTCGCATGTTGAACAACAACAAAAATATGCCATGGACTCGACAATATTTGTCCCTGTGGCATCGCAGTATCCTTAATAAACTGATGGGAAAATATGAAAATGGATCGAACACTGCACATTTCGGGTTTATAAAATATTTTCAATTTGATCCGAGCCGTGGAAGAAAAAATGAACCAAAAAGATAATAAACAAATATCGAGAATTTAAACGGGCATAAAAAAATGAGAGATCCACAGTCTGCACCATGAACAATTTCATAAATGAAATGGGGGGCTATTTTGTTAATTACCAAACTCAATTATTGAGAATCGCTTAACAATTTATACATAAACCGCCTCTCTTCTCCTCTCTCTTCCTCTGTCGCTGTGAGTGCGAGAGAGACGCCCAACGAGAATCGTTAGTTTTATTCGTGTGGAATAAAAAAAAAATTCTATAAGCATTACGTATACGTGACAACATTGGAATTGTTTTCCGCATTTCGAACAACGTAATCTCTGCATATTATCCCGAATTGGATGCCGATGAAATTCTGATTTGCATTTTAAAACTTTTTTTCCACCTTTCCTTGAATTTTTTTGCTACGCACTTTTTTTTACAATTTAATCCTTTGCTGTATGTACTGTGGACGTTTTGTGAAAACCCATTTTACGTTCAACTTTTCCGAGTGTTGCATAAAATTACGGGAACTCTGCAGCCAAACATGTGTGAGTGGCTCCAGTTATCGAGAATGATGTAAAGTTATGAAGGAATTCGCCAGATTTAAGATCAAAGTTCCATTTGGCATTGCAGTTGTTGTTAGTGTGTCCATTCAGTTTTTCTGTCGCTAATAATATCACCTCAGACATCAGAGCCGTCAAAGTTTTGTGTGTTTTTCCATGCCGTTGTCGATGCGATCAAGTTTAATAATAATTCGTATCTTTTATCTTTCTTCTTCTTTTAAATAACGGAATTTGCATGTCAATGCAGCAAAATCGTAACTTGGCAAACGACAGTTGTAAAAAAAAAGATGAAAAAATAAATCGCAATAAATTTGTGCCATAGTTGCGTCTAGCCAAACTCATTTCATCATGTTGAAAATGAATCTTTTAATATTGTTATGTACTTGATTTTAGATTTCCCTCTGTATAATTTATGCTGAACACGCTTAAGCCAGTCTGCTGGCGACAATGCCAAGCGACGCCGATGTGAATGAGAACGATAAACAAATATATACATGATCAAGACTATTCAAACCACACAAAAGATTGTCTGCGTAGAAAATCGAGACAATGGAATCAATGATACTTTTTGTGTGCTATATAATTCACTTTTAATAGGTAAGAAACGTGTAGGTTTACCTCGTAATTAAATCACTCTCTCAAAAACCCTATACCAGCTCATGCGTAACGATTTTATCATTTTCATTAAGCGTTACCCGCTGTGGTGAAACATTTTCCATGTTGGAAATAGTTTTCTAACAGACATCAGATGGAATTTTTTTGATTTGATTTGGGTGTGTATGCATGCGGTATACAAAAACATACCGAGTGAGACCGTGACAATTAATTTTTGTATCCATTTGCATATCCCAGTGTTTTTTTCCCTTGTTGCTCGCTTTTTTGCTAGGTGACGAGAGGCACACATTTCGTACGACATTTCAACAAAACAGATAACATGCACAACATTTACAGCACCACCATTCGCCCGATGGCTGAACATTTTCGATATTTTGAAAAGATGTTTTTTACCACCGGTTACCCATTCGAATATTCGCAACGTTTGCTCGGCATTTATGTATATGGTGTTTTTCCATCATTATTTCCCTTGATCCGATTTTGCCATTCATTTGCCGTTTGTTGTCAGTTTAATCCGATAAATACTTGGATACGAGGAGGACTGCACTCGTTTTGATGCCTGAATTGAATTACAGTTATTAAAAAATTTCCGACAAATGACCAACGAGAAAAAGTGAGAGGCAAAAAAGTGGGCCGTTACATCACCATTCACCATGACGCGTGTGTGTGTGTGTGTGTGTGTGGATATGTACCGATATGTGTATATGTGTGGTACGAACCAGTTTGAGCCTTTTGGCTGCAGCCTGAAATGAAATTTTAGTGGCGCTGAACACGTGCCAGTGTATTCAATCATTGGTTATATTTGGAAAGAAATTGGGGCTTAAAGGAAAAGAGACAATTATACCAATTCATCAGAAATTGGGTAAAAAAAAATAAATTGACTTTTTCGTAAGACAAAACATATCAACATTTCTTCAATTCTTTCTAGAACAGTACAAATTGGAGCAATCTCACTTCATGAATCCATAGCTTCATTTGTTTCATTTTTGACCTTGAATCTAATATTTTGATCCAACTGTACGTACGATAATATTTAAGTAACTAAATACAGTTGTACCATTTTGATGAGAATGATATCAAAAATTGTAAAATCTCTGTACATGAACATAGAAGATATACGATATATCGTAACGTATACATTTCCTTCAATTAAGAACATAACGCACAAAATGTAAACAAAAAGACCGACAACCAAATTAAATAATAACTTCAGAAAGTGAGCAATTTTCCCCATTTTCGGCATAGCCTAACTTTATTTATGTTGTGCGTGTGTATGATGGAATATTCGGATATTTGAGTTGGAGCAACATTTTGATGAAATGCGAATGGACATTCGAATGGGTGTATGACGTACAGTGTATGTTTTTTGTGTGTATTATCATAGAATCAAAGTTTCGAGTAAATTTGGTTGTCCAAAAAAGCCATTTTCGCCAAAATGTGAAAACAACCGTACAACTTTTCAAAGCTAATTGGTTACGAAATCTCTGCCGTTCATAATTTGATTGATGTTGATACTACGGCCGCATCACCAGAGCAATGCCGAAATATTTCCAGAAGAAGCACTCAAAATTTATTCATAAAGCATTTCCCGAGTAATCATAATGAATGGCTTGCGCCGAAATTGGACGATGGTTTGAAGTTTGATCGACACTTTTGTTAGAGGCATCAACACGACGAAACACTCATTCAAAGGAAATGCCATTATTTCAATTATCATTTCAACATCATTTTTAGCAACACCTAAATGCTTCGTAATTGAATTTGTGTCACGAAAAGATACGGCAGTGAAACGCTTTGTGAGTTCATCTGTTCACTCTGTTTTTAGTCTCCGAGTGAAAATTAAATTCAATTTGGTCGCATCAAAAGTTGCAGTGCGTCGTTCGACGTTCGATGTTCGATGTTTGGTATATCAGAATCTTAAGCTCAATCTTTAATCTCTGCCCGACACTTTCGTTAAGCCATGCTTGAGTGAGAAAATGACCTTCTTCATCGAAAGAGTAATTAGAGCGAACGGCAAAGGATAAAGATATTATTACGATTTCTGATTGATCAGGTGTCGGAACGAATGTGATTGAATACACGAATGAAAAACTAATTAGACTCCAAAAAAGAAATCCAATTACATTCAGCTAAATAAGAGATGACTCGATTTCAACAATAACATTCGAATAACATTCAAACGGCGGCTCAAGATCAGACCAATGCACAAAGTACGAGCGAAGTGAGCGTCTCATGTGAAAAGTCAATATCAACGGGCATTAAGTCAAGTCACCACCCCTTTTTTTAATTTCGAAGATATTTTCATCTTAGGCGAATACTTTGTAGTTATCAATGGCGCCATTCGTTCATTTCACAAAACCACTGCCGTCCACACATCATTTCACAAATTCATTTGAGCCGAGCGTTATTTACGTTTTTCTTGGAATTACGGTGAGTTATTAATACCACGCACAGAGCAAAGGTTTCGATTTTTAATTAAACCGAACACAGTTTAACAGCACGAACCAATGCAATGCATTCACGTTGACACCATTCCCGCATCGCGAATTCTTCGTTTGATATTTTCAGGCGTGTAAATTAAAAGCACCAAACAAAAGAACGTCATCTGCCACAAAAGCCGAGTGTCAAATGAGCGGTTAAATAGTATTAAGAGTCACACACACACACACACACTCTCTCTCTCTCTCTCTCTCTCTCTCTCTCTCTCTCTCTCTCTCTCTATACTTTTTAAGTATAGCGCTCCACGTTTCTCTATACTTTTTAATCCCATCAAGCGATGTCATGTATTTTCTATTTTCAGCTGTACATATGGATCTTTTCGCGCTTCATTCGCTCTTAATTCGGTCGTAAATGAGTTCATTTGCGCTTCTAATTGTGTTTCTGTTTCCATTGCTCATACGCATTATCTACATCTTTTTGTACGAGCTTAGCGCCAGGCTGCTGTGATTTGATTTGATGCTTGGTGTTTTCTCTCTCTCTCTCTCTCTCTCTCTCTCTCTCTCTCTTGTCGAAGTCAAGCAGATTCGAGCGAAGATAAAACCACTTCATTCGAATCTTACGCACAAGAACAAACTTACAAACGAAGTGCATGCTGCCAATGGTATGACTTTGCCTGTCATACATACACATACAGCAATAATAACAACAAACTCACATACTCATTCAATGTGAATGCCATGAATTAAAAAAAAAGAGCGATGCCAGCAGATGTGTGCGCGTGCTTCTCTAGACAAAGTCATAGATAGGCAGGCACACAGTTGTCAGTGTTCGAGAGTTGTGTTATTTGTAAAAAGATGAGTGGATTTTATTTATTTGGAAAATGATAAAAGTAATCTAATTAATTTTTCGCCGACAGGAAAATCAGCATCCAAATGGCGCAGAAGGAAATTAGACGAACACATAACCTACATAGATTCCGTTAACTGTGTGCCATTAACTAGATCGACGTGTGCTGTACAACACATCCACTGTGTGGTGTACTGGCGCTCGGTTGAATCAAACCACGGAGAATAAGAACGAAGGAGATAGAGTAAACTCACAGCACACCGGGATGATGCTCGTTGGAAACTGGCAAGTAATTTGAACATTCAGTAGCCAACTGAGCCCATCGACTGCTTTTGCACCCCATTTTTTCCACCCCATTCCAGCTCTTCGAATGGAACACATTGGGTAGGTTTGAATGTTTTAGATAAGAACAATTTATTTAATGTGCACTCGCAATGACAGCAGCCGCATAGCGGCGAATGAACATGTTTCTCATGCACATACTTACTCACAAAAACACACATATTTGCGACTCGCACGTTATAATTCATACAAAATAAGAATACAGAAAAATTCTAATGTAAACTTCCAATAATTGCTTTGATTAAATTACAAAGCCACGAAGATGTACGATTTTCAGAGGCACAAGCACGTCGTGCGTTTCATAAATTAAATGATTATGGGAACTGAATGAGAAAAAAAAACGCGTATATTAAAATAGACGGTAGCATCAACCGCGAGCACGTACGTGCTCTTCTGTTATGCATTTTCATCGAAATTCCAACATTCGACAAGAATGTAGTAATTTATAGATTGAATTTCACATTTTCGTTTTTTCTTTCTTCAATTTCATTTTTAGGTCGGCACGAACGACATAAAGCATCATAAAAAGAAGGAGTTCGACGGATACATTTAGTTGCAAGCCATTCATTGTAAGGAAATGTAAGAATGTTGAAATATAAAAAAGATATAGTTACTCTTGCTCATCAACTAATCAAAATCAACCCACAATACTCGACATCATTTTTCCATTAAATTTAAGCACATGAATGATGTTACAGATAAATCAGGAACATCCAGCTAACACTCAAAACATTTGAATGACTTTATCCCAATTTAAGTGTGTGCCAAAAGAAAAATAGAGTCGAGTAATTACCATCCAAACAACTTGTTAACTGACCATTCAGCTATGTAAATGGATTTGTGTATCCGAATGTTTTCGTGGTTTTGATATTTAGTTGTGCTAGGCAATTTTCACTACTATTACTTTTTCCAGACGACACCTTGAGAATGCACTGTATACATTCCTAAAATCCCCATAATCCAGTTGAAAACGTTTGAATGAAACGAAACAAATTAATTCTTCCAAAAGTGTTTGTTTGAGTTTTTGTGTTAAAATCAACACAATAAAAATGGCCAATTTTGCTCCCCCAGAGTGAACATTTTGAAATTTTAATATCAGGTTGTTCAGTATATTTGTAAGCCATGTTTATTAAATTTGCCATCGTTTAAAATCGATGTGTGCAAATCAATGGGTTCGAAAACGCAAAAAGTGCACCACTTTAGATAACATTTCATTTATTCATGCATATTTTCAATATTTGAACACAACAGGTAAATTTCCGGAAGGAAGTATTTTTCAATGAAATCACATTTTCATTTTGAATGATTGTCCGAGTTAAATCGTCAGAATCTATTATTTTTGCAGCATTTTCGAATTGTACATCAGTTATTTTTTTCAGCTGTTTTTTTTTGAGCAGTCCTTCAATTTGAACAGGAGGGTTTTTGTCCGTTCATTCTTTTCCGTTGTTTTTCTTTGTCTCCTCTGGCTGACATTTTTACGAACACATTTCCAAATCAACGCAATGGCAGATGCAGGTGCGATGGCTGAACCTTAGCATCCTTATGGCAAATCGAAAAGTGTCAGAGTTGTCAGAGCATCCTTCGGAATGTGACGTATCATGTGCGGTGGTCTGCTGTAATTAACGTTCAGTTTGAAGTGCTTTCATAGCCATTGATTCAAACTGAAATCAATTAATTTTATGGTGGATGTTGTTTTTGAGAGTTGATGTTGCGATGTTATTGTATTTTTGACGTCATTTCCCATTAAATCAGCGAGCATTTTGTTGTTACAGAGACAGAAAAAGAGATAGAGGAGGAGGATTCGAAAAAACCAATCGCACGGAATGGAGCGTCATCGAGCAAATGAAATGAAAATAAAAATGCGGGGAAAAGCGTGCGAAAAAAAACTGAATTGAAATAAAAACAACACAAATAAAGTGAGAGAAAGAGAGAGAGAGAGAAAGAGAGAGAGAGAAAGAGAGAGAGAGAAAATGAAAACAGTTCACACCGTGCACTGCGAACCAAATTGAAAAATACTTGAACTCACCACTCACTCACATTCCATCTGATAAATGAGGTTGCAATCAATTTCGTCCTCTCCATCTCTGAAACGGTCAGTGTTTTTAATTTTGATGATAATCAACAACAAAAAAAGTTGAAAGTAATATATTAAAAATTAAATAAACGTTTCGGTTTCGACAAAGTGGAAATTTATATAAATTGCTGGGTGATAAATTGTGAATTTACGAAACACCAGAACATTACACGGATTGGTATTTATTTATTTAAAAAAAAAAGAGCACATACATAACACAGGCAAATTATTAAAAGCCACTAAAACATGTGTTTTCCGGCGACTGTATCACTGCCGCTGCTATTGGTCTTATTAGCATGCTGTATCGGTAAGTAAATGTTGAAATAATTTTGTCGCTTTTTTGCCTGCAAATACGTGGCCCCTAAGACCTATTCTGGTTAGATAAATTTAAATGTAATTTAGTTGAAAAATTTGGTAGCCATTAAAGAATAATCACTTAGCATATTAAACATATTTTATCCATAATTCATTCGAGTGGAAATTGAATGAAGCGTTTGCCAGGAAATATGCTAAGTGTTCAGCACTAGAGAGATAGATAGAGTATTTTCTGCAGAATCGTGCAATTTTCGGCGTTTGCAATTCATAGTTCTTTTCATTCCCTCTTGCTTGCTATTTTAGCCGTTTCGGTGTGTGATCCGCACAAAATCGAAAGAGCCAACATATTCATTTCATTACGCTAATGGGTTTCTGCTGTTTTTCCACAGCGCAATAAATAACAGTGCGTTCACGTTGCAACACGACAATCATATTTCGTGTGAAATTCAATTAAAGAATATAAATGGTATGCAGTCTTGCCCTCGCCCATCTATCCATCCGTTTCGATGTGTAATCCAACATCGCAGCGATTCCCTTGCAAATTTTCCTCGAACTAAAAGTGCAATCGTGTGTTTTTCTCACGTTTCTTTTTCTCCTTCTTTTTTTTGCGTTGTAATGTGGGTGGCAGGTCGACGTGAACACCGTGAACCAAACGGCATTCAGCGTAAAACACAAAAGAGATGAAATTCATTTAAATTTTCTTTCCATAGAACAAGTAGTTGGCAACAAATAAATTTAAGATTGCGGTATGCTCAGCCTGTCGATTGCACGTAAACAAAGTTTCTCGTGAACTTTGATGTTTCAAGAAATACTGACACACAACACAGCTACAGCTACCCATTATTCCGTTTTTTTCAGCTTGGGTGAAATGCATAACAATCTCATCTCCCGTGAGTTAGGTCACGGTGGTCTAGGTAAATGTGAGGGAGAGAGTGTGTGCGATGGGTAAAATTAGAGCATTAAAGAAACTTTTCGACAGCAAGAAATTAATTACCATTTTCATAAAATGAACCATCGACCGAGCCGGTGCCCTTGCACACAAACACACACACAAAACAGACCAATTTCACGTTAAACGCACTGTGACAAAAGTTTGTGATTAAATTGCAAGAACAAACTTAAGTTGGTAGCGCGACACTGGAAGCAACGTCCATGGAAATTCAATAATAATACAAGATGTAAACCTATACTTTGTGAAAACTTGTAAATGAAAGGAGATTGCAATTCCGAAAAATAAAGAACGAATCCATGTGCAACATTCGAGTGCACTCGATTCACAATTCACGTAAGTAATAACTTTTTGAAAATTGAATAAAATATGGGAAATTCAAAAACTGACTTTGTCACATGAAAACCTACATTTCACAATCAATATTGACTGCAAGCGACTACTATCAGTACTGCATTGGCAATGTGATGCATTGAGGTTTTGAGGTGGACAAACTCAATTTACTTCTGCAAATAAGACATTTTCACTGTTAGTTTAGTAAAACTATCCCAGTTTCACCGCTGTAAATGCGCACGAAAGATGCCAACACAAATGAAATGCGTTTGCTACAATCAGCTTGATTATGTTCAGCCGCGCGGCAAAATCAGTGAGTGTAGCAAGTCAGGTTCCGAAGCACGTAAAATTTTGCATTTTAGTGTGCAGCACAAATATGGCAGCAATTTTGCAAGCATCCGGTCAAGTATGGAAATCATTTGAATAATAAACAAAACGAGGAATCCTGGCAACGGAAAAAAAGTGTAGCAGTGGGTGGAGAGTTGAAAACCAAATACAAACACACGATCGTGACTAGATGCCATGGAGAATGAATGCGAATAAGAGCAAAAAAAAGTATAGCGGCACGCTGGGAAAATAAATATGAATATTGAAGAATGGGAGAAATTCATTCGAATGTAATAAAATCGTACGCTCTGTGCGAATATAACTGCATTAACGAGACTCTAGTCTTCCTCTTTTTCATTTCATTCGGCAAAAATATAAAATATGATTTTATAATAAAAACTGATTTTATTTCCCTCTTGAATAATGTTGTCCGATGCACTCTTATCGCATTTTTTCTACTCCATAAAAATCAGTTTGATTTTTTGAAAAAAAAAAACTTTTATCGAATCATACACAGAAGTTGAAAAAATGAGGAAAAAAAATTGGCGAGAGCATTGATTATTGCGTTAGTCGTATATTCAAACAACTTAAAAGAAAACCATGATTAAATAACGCCGGAAACACATTCCGCGTAGAAAATTAATCCATTATTGTTTGCTCTCAGTTTTCCCTCTATTAGCCATTTCGTGCTCGTATTGTTTTCATCTTTTCGTGCCATAAATAAGGTTCGGATTGCTCTTGAGCACTTTTTTATGATGTTTCGTGTTTTTCGATAGTTGAATACATCGCACCTGTCTAGAGCGAAATGGTCGTTTTTGCACTTCAAGCTAAATAGAATATCACGTAATTATAAATTTCATTTTGTGAAGAAAGAAGATTCAATTATAATGAGAGAGTGTGAGAGATAGAGAAAGAGGAAGACATGCGCTATTTTTCGTGCTTGCCACTATTTACTGTGTGTACTGACACAACGTATTATCCACAAATATCGGGCTGGCTTATCGAATGCTAAACGCTTTTGAATGAAATAAGTGTGGCATTAGCGCGTTTGTTTGGCATAATTAAAATCAATAAATTAAATTAGCATGGACGACCGTTGTGTGCCCCTCAGTTTGGCGCTCAAGCGTAAAAAAGGGTATTTGTGTGTGCGCACTTGAACACATTGAGAAAATTCCAAATTCCGTTCATGTCGTTCAAGTACGCTGTGCAACACATAATCTCTTGTTCGTTATTTTTGTGTCGTTTCTCGTGCAGATTTCAACAAATGGATCTCATTTTCACTAACGAGATAAAAAAAAAAACAAATTCAGCACTGGATCCACTGTGTGAGCTTCAAAACACACACAAGTGTGAGAGAGAAAAACGTACACGCACTTTTTTTTTCCACCGGAAACATGTTTGGGTGCAGTCAAAACTCTAATTAATTTCATCACCGTATTTTGACGCCACTCTCAGCACGATTCAGGCTCCCCTTTTTTATGGCTTGTCTTTTTATGTCAATTCATTTGCATGGGATTGTGATCACGGACAGGGACACTCAACAAACATGGTCATAATGATGATAATTGGAGTGTTTTTGAGCCAGTTAGCAAAATGGTTGTACTCTAAATGCGCAGCAAGGGCCACTTGTCTGACTAGCATTCAAAATAGAAATTGAATTAAACACTTTGATTCACATAGCATCGGCATTCTGGAAAATGCTCATCTCCATCATCACCCCAATGTAATGAAACTGCCAAGATTTCGACCGATTCAGGGCCCAACTCTATTTCGTTAAAAAAAAAACACTCAAAAACATATAATATGTCCAGGAGAGTTTTGATATTTTATTGTAATGCTTAGTAAGCATTGCTTACATAGTTCCCAGCAGCAAAAGAAATGTGGACTGCTGGAATGAAATTTAGAACTCATATAACCACCAAAATTGAATTTATTTGAATTTTGGTTCAAGAACTGTGATTGGTAGTATGTGGAACACATTGTGTCATTAGTACGATTATTACGCGATATGTTAGATTTCACAGGGATTGCACTACACTAACAATAACATTATTTGCAAATCAAAGTGCATCCAAACATTGAGCACGGGTTCAGACGCACGCTTGTAGTGCAAAGAGCACGGTCGTGGACGCATTTACCTCGGGCTCATATTGTCAAGCATTGAGTAGTGTCAAGCATTGCCGTGAGAACGCGATGCGCTGTTCGTTTGACAGCTACTGTATGATGCTATGGGTACGTTAGATTTACTATCTGTTTCTTGTATATCAAAGAGAATGTTCCAACATGACGACATGAGATTGTTTATTGAATATTATAAACATTGAGATATGAATATGTACATATGGAATATATCAGCGAAAAAGCGAAATAAAAAATGGTCAGCATAAGCGTCATATTTTGGTATATTCAAGATAAATCATACTCCTTTTGAGTAGTACGCGTTGCGCTAGTGGTTTCTTGTTGCATGGTTTGCATCATACTCTATGATATTTCCATGGAAATGAACGCTCGATTTAGCTAATGAATTTCTGCAACTAGACCAGTGATGGTATTCAACAGTCATCAACTAGACCAGTGATGGTATTCAGTGGAGCTCTGAATAATGGAGATGAGTGAAATATTAATTTTTTACTTTTGCCACTTTCAGAAAAACGCATTTATTCAAAATAAAAATAGAAGAGCCATTTTGCCAGTGAATGTGAGTCATTTTGTATGCTATTCCTGGAATTTTACTTTCGAATCTGGCGCAAAACTTATACAACTCCATCGCTATCTCACGCCAACAAAAGCCAACTTTATTTCAAACAAACGAGAAAAAAACGACAAACTCTGACATTTTGAATTGCACTAAAAGTATGCTGATGGAATTCCTGTCGTTTCGTTGCATGTGAAAAATTAAAATGATTTCGACAAAAACTTTTTTTCCAATCATTCAGATTTCCATTGACGAAATTCAGTTTTGATGGGAAACCAATATTGAAAACTCTGTCAATAAAAAAGTATTTGGCTAGTGGAATTGTTCTCAATTCACAAAGTTTTCTAACATGCAAATATATTTACGACAAGTCAAGCATCATCAGGGGAAAAAATATATATATGTACAAACATTAAATGGAAAAATTTCTTCGGAAAAGTTTAAGTGTCAAAAGTTTTAAAAAACTATTTTGATGGATCCAAAACTACTTTTCCATACGGTTATTCGAAATATTTTATTTAACTTGTTTTTTTTTTTTCACACGAAACATAATTGTACAACGCTCAGTTTTGAAAAGCTTTTCAAAGTGGTTGTGAGAAGGTATTGGATTTGCCAAAAATAATCTAAAACCGTCCGTAATATTGTTGACCACTTGTACTTATCGATATCGAAGAGTTTGGCTCCGCCA